ATTTGATGACCTACAGGAGGCCGCCCAGCAAGCCAGGCACACCACGCTGATCCAACATGCAGTAGGCGAGCTCTCGCGATGAACCTCGGCATTCCCCCTCCCTGCTCCTCCTCCTCCTGTCCTCCCTCCTCTTTCTTCTCCCTCCCTCCTCATCTTCCCTCCCCCTCTCTCCGTCCATCCCGCTTTGTCCTCATCCTCCCCCCCGACTCCGACAATGTGACCGTACGACGACGAGACCGATAACGACGACGAGGCCGACGACGCCGACGACGACGACGACGGCGACGAGGCCGCCGACGGCGAGTCCGACGACGACGACGCCCCAGAGGCCTCCACGGGTGCCTGAAGGTCCCAGAGGCCTCGGGTGGTTCCCCGCATACCTCCCAGAGCCCCGACAGGCACCAACGGTCAGTCACAGCCGTGTGTCCAAAGGCACACGAGCAATCCGGCGCACTTGCCGCGCCAAGCAAAATGAACGCACTGCTTGCTCCAAGTCTTGAACTGGGACTGTGCACACTCCAGATTTCGTAATAAAAGGGAGGGGGTCTGGACCCTCCAAGACAAGCCATTTCAGACCTTCCCTGTGGGAGAACCCTCCAAAACATCGTCCCCAGACCCCCCAGGCCCTCCAAGATAGCCTGGAAGAGACCCCCCCCGAAATGAGACCCCCCTCCCTTTATTACGAAATCTGGAGTACGTGAGCTGCCGCTGCAGAAGAACACTGCTAAGTTTCATCCTGCGTGCGCGTGACAGCACATCCACATTCGACGCTCGGCTGACGCTGGCATGCGGGATCATGCGGGGTCCCGAGGGTTTTCCGCAGGCAACTTGCTTGGAAGGCGTCGATGCGTGCTAGCTTGTCCTGCTTACACCATGCCGTGTGCAAGCTGTACAGTAATTCCGTTTGTACGCACGCCTCGCAGATGTTTATTTTTCTATGCATGGGGATGCCGCTGCGGTTCCAGACACGGTGCAGAAGTTCGAACTCTGCCCGCGGCTGCCCGAAGTCTCGATCTTCGATCTTCGATCGTCGTTCGAGGTTCGATCGGTGATCGACCCTGGCTCTGATGGGCCGTGCAACGTGGAGAGTGGCCTCCCCGATCGAGCCTCGAAAGCCGCGGCGCGAGCATCGAGCCTCCATCCCCGGCCGATCCTCGAGCCTCGAGCCTCGAGAGGACGACGGCGAGGCCGACGACGGCGACGGCGACGACGACGACGGGTGCGCTCCGCTCCCGCCCTCAGGGGCAACGATAGGGGGGATGGGCTCAGGGGTGTGCTCGTCGACCTACTCCTCCTCCTCCTCCTCCCTCTCCTCCTCCTCCTCCTCCTCCTCCTCCTCCTCCTCCTCCTCCTCCTCCTCCTCCTCCTCCCCGAGGGGTCGCCCGTTCCTCGCCGATAGGGGCCTGATGGCCCAGCCCGCCCAGGAAAGGGATTTTTTCACTATCGGGGGCCCAGCGCCGATCAGTCGGCGACGTGTCGCCGACTCCAGCTCGACGTTCCCCTCCCTAAGCCGGCACCCCACCATCGTTCCCCTCGCGCCCGACGCGCTGGCGCCCAGGATGGTGGTGAAGGTGACCGGCCCGACTCCCGGCAGGCGCTACGGCCACACGATGGCCTTCATCAAGCCGCAGCTGGCGCTCCCAGGGGCTGGAGCAGGAATACGGCGAAGAAGAAAAACTGCTGTAAAGATAAACTTTTGGCGCTCCGCGCGGATTTCTTGGATCCGCGCTGGGCCCCCCGCCCCCGGCGGCGCCTTCGGCGCCGCCCCTGGCGCGCTCCGCGCGCGCGCCAGGGGGTACCTTTGCATCCTTGCCTCCTCGGTGCATCTTTGGCCACTTTCATTGGCCGAGCCCCGCTCGAGAAGCTTCGAAATGAGCTTCCAAGGGCCTTCCATCCTTACCGCGCATCCTTGCTATACGGGTTGACCGTAGGCGTGCTGCCGCCTGGTCCTCGCTTGCCTTGTCCATCTGCCTGGACAGGTCGGACATGGGCTTGGGGTTGCTGTCTGGGTTGACCGCGGACGCTGTGCCTTTGAGCCCGCTGTTGACGCTGCCGAGCTGCTGCCGCTCGACCCGTTGATCGGAGCCGTCCTGAGATGCTGTTTCTCCGTCTCAAGTTTTTTTCTTGCATGCGCTCTTCTGGTTGTTCTTGGGTTCCTGCATACTTGCACTCGCTTCCTCTGGCCCAGTTTGCTCTGCCAGTACACGATCCAAATGCTCGCTGCGGGCTCTTCTCGGCGGCGAGCCCCAGGAGGAAGTGAGAAGGGGCGGGCCTTGTCACAAGGCTCGGAAGTCCCTTGGCCTCCAGAGAAGTTTCTTAAGCCCCCCCGAAGACAGAGAACTTCTCAGAAGGCGCGAAGTCTTCCGAGAAGTCCCGCCGTCTTCTGAGAAGGCCTTCTGCTGCTCCCGAGCGGCAGAAGAGGTCTTCTCCTGAGAATGTCTTCTCTCGCGGCGCGCTGTTCCCGAGCGGCAGAAGAGGTCAGTGGCCTGGCCGCGGTTCAGCGGTCTTTCTGGGAGCTCTGGAGACTGAACAGCCCCCCCCCCCAGGAAAACAGTTTGAGCCAAAGAGGATGATGATGATGATGATGATGATGATGATGATGATGGTGGTGGTGGTGATGATGATGGTGATGGTGATGGTGATGGTGATGGTGATCATGATGATGCTGATGATGCTGATTATGATGTTGATGATGCTGATGCTGATGCTGATGATGATGATGATGTTGATGATGTTGATGATGTTAATGATGATGATGATGATGATGATGATGATGATGATGATGATGATGATGATGATGATAATGAGGATGAGGATGATGAGGATGATGATTATGATGATTATGATGACGATGATGATGATGATGATGATGATGATGATGATGATGATGATGATGATTCTGATGATGCTGATTATGATGATCTGATGATTGATGATGATTATGAGATGATGATGATGATGATGATGATGATGATGATGATGAGATGATGATGATGATGATGATGATGATGATGATGATGATGATGCTGTTTGATGATGATGATGATGAATGATGATGATGATATGAGATGATGAGAGGAGGAGGAGGAGGAGGAGGAGGAGGAGGAGGAGGAGGAGGAAGAAGAGAATAATAAGAAGAAGAAGAATAAAAAATAAGAAGAAGAGGAGAGGAGAGAGGAGGAGCATGAGGAGAAGGAGGAGGAGGAGGAAACTGAGGAGAAGGAGGAGGAAATGGAGGAGGAGGAGGAGGAGGAGGAGGAGGAGGAGGAGGAGGAGGAGGAGGGAACTGAGGAGGCACTCGTCGCCGCTGGCGTCGCCGCTGGCGTCGCCGCTCGCGCTGTCGCCGCCGCCGCCGCAGTGCGGGGGCGGCGAGCAGGGTCTGACGAACGAGGGGGGATGTGGCCCCTCTGCTTCCGCCTCCTCCCCTGCCTCCTTCCTCCCCTGTGACCATTTAGGCTCATGCAAGTTTCCATATCTTGTGTGTTGTGTTACCGAGTGGAGCTCCAGCAGGCCGTGTTCAAAGAGCCACTCGAACGGCATCGCCAGCACGGTCGGTTCAGCACATGATTAGTCGTGGATTCCTTGCTCGCGCACTGGGAGGAGGAGAAGGAGGAGGAGGAGGAGGAGGAGGAGGAGGAGGAAGACGAATAAGAACAAAAGTGCACCTCAAGTATCTCCAGGGCTGTGGCACGAAATCGGCCGCGTGCAGCCCGTTTCGGCGCCGCCGCGGTGCGCCTCCCTCGATGCACCGGCGCCTCTCGGCGACGAGTGTCGGTGTCTCGGGGGCTCCCAAACGGGGTGGTGACCACACCGTGTGGTGAGTCGGTGGGGATTCGGGGTCACCGCACGGTTTTGGGACTTGGGTCGTTCTCCGAGGATGTCTCGGGCGACTGGAGCCTCCAGGGTCCCGACACCGTGTGGTGACGGACCGTGCGGTGAGGTCTTTGCGGATTTCGAGGTCACCGCCGGGTCTGTCACTACACGGTTTTGGGACACCCAAGTGTCAGGGAGATCGGCTGCGTGCGCTGCTCCGCTGGAGCAGCCCAGACGGTCAGTTCAGCTGGCGAAGAGCGGTATACAATGAACCTTCTCGTCTCCGGGGGCGCCAGTCCCAGGGCGGCTGGAGAGCTTATACCCTGACGTGCCACCGCAGAGATAATTACAAGCTTTCCAGCCGCCCTGGGACAGGCGCTCCCGATGGCGAAAAAGTTTATTTGATCGCTTCGCTTATTCCGCCGGCCCCAATTGTGCCATCGCAGGCGTTTGCCTGCGCGTTCTTGGCCTCTTGGGGCCTCTTGGGAGGTTCTTTGGGGTCTCTTGGGGGATCGTTGGGGCCTGTTGGGGCGTCCTTGGGGCCTCCTGGGCCCCTCTCGGGGCGGAAAGCTCGAATTGCCGGCCCCCGATGGCGAACAAGTTTATTCTATATACCGCTCTTCGCCCGACAATCAGTGCGCGGCCCCAGAGGTCGACCCCTTCCCGGGGGGGTAGGTCTGCAACCTGGACCCATCTCCGGTGGCCTGGGGCCGACAGTGGGCCCCAGAGGCCGCAATCGAGGAGAAAAGCAGTCGGTTGGAGGCGGGGGGGGAGGAAAGAAGGAAGGAAGGAGACGCGGGGCGCTGCCGATCCAAAACGAGGATTAAATCGGGCATGTCCCTCTACAGGAGGAATATTCAAACATAGCCCCCAAAATGGTAGGGAAACGATTTGTCGATTACGTTTCGACATTTTTTGAGTTTTTTTTGTTGTTGTTGTTGTTATTACTATTCTTCGTTTTTCGGAGGACATGCCCGACCTAAAACGAGGATCCAAGGAATGAAGGCAGGAAGGAGACGCGGGGCGCTGCCGATCCACACACGAGGACCCAAGGGAGGAAGGAAGGAAGGAAGGAAGGCGACGCGGGGCGCTGCCGATCCAAAGCGAGGGCCCAGCACACCACAGGATGGACGTGAGCCGGTCGGATCGTCGCCCTCGCGCGCGCGCGCCCGGGGTCGGCGAGGTGGTCTTCGGCGGCAACAACGGCTCGCAGGCGGGCGCCTCCCCGCGCGCGCCCCCCCCACTCCTCCTCCTCCTCCTCCTCCTCCTCCTCCTCCTCCTCCTCCTCCCAAGTTCCTCCTCCTACTCCTCCTAATTTTCCTCCTAATTTTCCTCCTCCTCCTCCTCCTAATTTTCCTCCTCCTCCTCCTCGGGTGTGGCAGGCCCGTGCCGCGTCGGCGCCGCGGCGGCCCCAGCGGGGGCGCTCGGGCTGAAGTCGGGCACGCCCCCTCCACAGGAGGCATCTCGAAAGACAGTGGGAAGCATGGTCCGGGGACGAGCCTCTCGCTGGGCTATTTTTATGGCTCTTGTCGAGTGTCTGCTTGACTATGCTCAATGATGACTCTTTTCGAGTATCTTGACAGACAGCGAAGCATGGTCCGGGGGCGAGCCTCTTGCTGGGCTATTTTTATGGCTCTTTTCGCGTATCTGCTTGACTATGTTCAATGATGACTCTTTTCGAGTATCTGCTTGACGGACAGGGAAGCATGGTCCGGGGACGAGCCTCTCGCTGGGCTATTTTTATGGCTCTTGTCGAGTGTCTGCTTGACTATGCTCAATTCTCTTCCAGAAACCGCCCGCAGGCGGTGCCCGACCCAAGCTCAAGATTGTAAAAAATAGTCTGGGGACTATTTTTTGAGTATGTTTTGACCCTTTTGGGGTATTTTTTGGGTATCCTTATAATTTTTCGTCGAAAATCCCCCTGTGGGGGGACAGGCCCGACTGGAACCTCAGCTCAGGGTCGACTGCCGCTGGCGGCCCAGGGTCGGGCGACCTCGACCGGCCTGCGCTGCCGAAGCGGGGGCGGCCACGTCCAGGCCGGGCGAATCCGCGCGGCGGTGGCAGCGGGCGCCGACGCCGGCGCGGAGTTGGGCCGCAGCGCAGCGGGGGCGCGCAGCAGCAAGGGCTCCCACGAGGGCGCGAAGCTGTTCGCGCTTCGCGCTTCGCGGTCCTCGTTCTGTCTCCCCCTGCCCCTCGTCCTCCTCTTCTCCCGTTGGGGGGGGGCGGCGCGAGAACGCGAAGTTATTCGCACTTCGCGCTTCGCGCAGCGCGAAGCGCGAAGTGGAGGCGCGCATTAAGTCGGGCGTGTCCCCCTACAGGAGGATTTTCGACGACAAATAAAAAATACACCAAAAATACCCCTCAAAGGCAAACAATACTCGAAAAATAGTCCCCAGACTATGTTATGATTATTTTTGGGCTATTTTTGAGGTATTATTTATTTTTCGTCGAAAATCCCCCTGTAGGGGGACAGGCCCGACTGAAGGCGCGCATCAAGAAACCATCTGCGTTTTGTCAGGGTGCCCTGGGTCTCTTCGTTCCGCGCGCTGCGGGGCGACTTCCGCGGCCGTCAAAGGAGGCTGCTGCGTTTAGGGTGCTCCGGGTGTCCCCGCGGGGGCACCTCGCGCGCGGGGTGTCAGTGTCGGGTTTCTTGCGGGGGTTGCTTGCGGCCGCGCCCGCACCGTACCGCTTCCTGCGCGCCGCCATCCCCGACATCTGCCGGACTGCTCGTGGCAGTCGGCGGCGAGCGAGCGGGGGAAGTGAGGAGGAGAAGGCCTGTTCAGAAGGCGGCGGGACTTCTCAGAAGCGCTCCGGCCTTTTGAGAAGCTTCCTGTGTCTCCGGGGGGGGGCTCTGAAGACTTCTCAGAAGGCCAGGGGACTTCCGAACCTTCCCAGAAGGCCTTCTACTTCTCACTCCTCTCGCTCGCCGCCGGGTCAGTCCGCGGAACTAGCCTTGGGTCGGGCATGTCCTCCTACAGGCGGATTCTGGCACAACAGTACAGGAGAGCCAAAACATATTGAAACATCATCAAATATTCTGAAACAACTCGTCCCCAGGGTATTTTTTGATTTTCGAATTTTCCTCCTGCGGAGGGACAGGCCCGGCTTAAAACTGGCCAGCATCGAGCGACGCCGCGCGATCGGAGGCGAGCGGCCGCCTGCCAGGCCGAGCGATGCGCGCCTGTGCCCCAGGCGCGCGGAGGCCGCCGGGGCACGAGGCCGCCGCGGCTGGCCTTCGCCCTCCAAGCCTGCAGCAGGTGAAAGAAGTGGTACCCATCGGTCGTTTACAGTACAGTGGGGCGCGCATCAAGAGACCAGATGCTTTTCGTCAGGGTATCCTGGGTTTCTTGGCTCCCCGCGCTGCGCGGTGGCTTCCCGCAGCCGTTGGAGGAGCTGCTGCGCTCAGGGTCCTCCAGGTTTTTCCTCTGGTGCACTTCGAGCACGGGTTCTCATGGTTGGGTTTCTTGCGAGGGTTTCTTGCGGCTGCGCCCGCACTGTAGGTTGAAGTCAGAGAGACAGCGTTTCACGGGCGCTTGCCTTGGGAACACTCGGCGGCGCGTTTCGAACCGGGGGGTGGGCCCCCCCCCAGCACTCGGCGCCGTCGATCAAAACCAGGGGGACTCCCCTCCCCCCCAACCCCCCCCCTCCCGAACCCCCCCCCCCACTCCCAGGGGGGGTCCAAACCCCCCCCCCACCCCCGCGGCGCCGGTACCGGCGCTGGCGGCCGCCAGCAGCGCCGACGGCGGGGACGCAGCGACGATGACCAGAGGCAGCCTCAAGGGGGGGGAACGGGTTTCAAACTCCCCCCCCCACCCCCGGGCGCCGGGGGGGGTGTTCAACCCCCCCCCCTGGCGCCGGCGCCCCGGCGCCGGCTCTGGCGGCGGCCAGCAGCGCCGGCGCTGGCGCCGGCGACGGCGGAGACGACGCAGCGACGATTACCACCACTACCAGCACCGCCACCACTACCACCACCACCACCACCAACCCACCACAACCACCACCACCACCATCACCACCACCACCACCACCACAACAAATCACCACTCCACCACCACCACCACCACAGCCACCACCACCACCACCACCACAACCACCACCACAACGTACCATCACCACCACCACCACAAAAAAACACCACTACCACCACCACCTGACTGTACCACACCACCACCACCACCGCCACAACCGCCTCCACTACTAGCAGCACAACCCACCGCCACCACCACAAACAACCACATCACCACCACCGCCACCACCACCATCACCACCTCCACAAACCACCGCCACCACCACAACCCACGACCACCACAAACCACCACCACACCACCACCACACCACCACAACCATCACCACCACAACTCACCATCGCCACCACCACCACCACCACAAAGACCCACCACCACTACCACCACAACCACCACAATCTACCACCCCCTGGATTAAAAAGTTGAGATCGGAGCTACACCGAAAGAACCGCATCCTGGTATTCGTCCGTCGTTCGGCTTTCGAGCCGCGACTTTCGATCGGGACTGGATCCTGGGAAGTCGATGGTCGCTGTTCGACCGGACCTCTATCCTCGACCCTCGAAGTATCTGGGGCCCTCGATCCTCGATCCTCGAGCCTCGATCGAACCTCGATCATGGATGTTCGATCGGCCAGGCATTCTGGAGCCTGGAGTTTCGATCAAGCCTGGAACATCGGTTCTCGATCGTCGCTCTTCGATCGGCCATCCAGCGTCGAACTTCGACGGATCGTGGCCGCTCGATCCTGGCTCCTCGATGTCCGAACGGCCCTGGATCCTCGACCCTCGATCTCCGACCCTCAATCGCTAGGTGGTTGTCGAACTTTGATCGGCCGTGGAACCCAAAGCCTCGTTTCCGATCGATATGGGTTCGCTCTTCCACAGTCGGTCCTGGGTCATCGATCGTGTATCCTCGATCATCGATCCTGGATCGTCGATTCTGGACCGTACATCCTGGGTCAACCGCGTCGCCCCAAAATGACCCTGGGATCGAACCTCCCACAGGGGGGCCTGCGACCCGACGCGACCTCAAGATGGCCTCAAGATGACTCCAAGACAAACCTGTGAACCGAACGATGCAACGGCCATCCCTGCGGACATCCGCCCAGGCGCAGATAGGACCGCGCGCGCGAGGCTGTGGCAACTGGAATCTGACTTGCACGGAGAGCATGCGACACGGAACAATCCAATACTGTGATGATAAGAGGAGAGAGTGGGAAGAGGAATAGGTCCGCGGCGTCTGTGTGAGCGTACATGAGACCAGAAACTCGAATGTCAGGAAGTCTCAAGCGAAATCGTCGTTTTCTGGTGGCATGAGATGCGACAAAAAGTAATGTGTGAGGAAGTCCCACGCGAAATCGCCACTGTCTGGCGGCCTCAAAAGGGACCGGAATATTTTTTTGAGGAAGTCCCACGCGGAATCGCCACTTTCCGGTGGCATGGCAGAATTTCCGGTCGCCCTGGAAGGCGACCGGAAACTTTTTTTGAGGAAGTCCTAGGCAGAATCCCACTTTCCGGTCGGAGCCCCATTTGGCCTTTATAATATTAAAAGGGATGATGGAGGCACCGGAAACTCCGGAATTGGCAACAAATCCAACATTGTCCCGGGGCCCCGCTGCCTAACGGGAGGCAAACCACGTCTACCTCGGCCCCTGCGGTCTCCACTTTTTAATCCAGGGGGTTGTCCACCGCCAGCAGGCCGAAGCACGTCTGATGTGTTTTGATTTTTTCGCACGCTCCACGTGGCCGAACGCATCATTGGTCTACGACTGAAGCACATTTAACCACTTCGTCCGAGATCCGGGCGGGTTGGACCGCAGGCAATCCTCTGCCCTTTCTTTCTGGTTCGTTGACAAACCACCTCCGCCTTCTTTGCTGCGTCGGCGTTGGAAGACTCGACCTGGTGTGCAAGTGCCTGGACCTTCTCCCTCGCAGCAGTGTCCTTGGGCAGCTCTGAGTGGTGAACGCCCGCAGCTTTCGCTGCCCTCCGTATTGCTTGAACCAGCTTCGCACGATTGTCCGAAGACATCGCTGGAGCCGAAATGACTACGGATGCGAACGTTGAGGACATCGCAAAACGAACCATTTTTTGAACCTCCACCGCCAGCAGGCCGAAGCACGTCTGATGTGTTGATTTTTTCGCATGCTCCACGTGGCCGAACGCATCATTGGTCTACGACTGAAGCACATTT